AAAAGAAACAGCTAGAGGGAAGGCCCTAAGTTGGAAATGTGGGAATGTGCCTGTTATGTTCTGGAGTAAATAGCAAAAAAGCCAGTGTGGCCAGAGCTGAATGAGCAGGACAGGGGTGGTCAGAGAGGAAAGGCAGCGAGCAGAACTTTGGAGGTCATTGTGAAGACTTCAGAGTTTACTCTGAGTTTTGCAGTCATTAGCAGGTTTAAACAAAGAATTGCTGTGATCTAAACAGGGACTCACTGATGCTTGATCATGATGGTAAATGTCACCTGCAAAGCCCTTAACTTCTCTGAGCTTCACTTTCTTCATTTGTAAAATGGGATAATACAGCTGGACTGACAGGCTTATTGGAGGTCAGATGACAGCAGGGAGGCAGTCAGTGCTGGGGGCTCCTTTCGTCTTCCCTGCACTAAGTACTGCAGGACTCAGAACCCCAGCCACTTATCCAGGCTGAGCTGCTCACAAGTCACAATGCACTAAAGTCAAGGAGAATCCCCAGGAGCCCTTCATGGCAAAGGCTGGGCTGGGCTTTGGATATAGAGTAATTTTGCTATATCCTGTGGAGAAAGGCTATGACATCTGGACCTCCTCAGTCAATAGCCCAGGAGGAGGACAGCCAACTGGAGGGGTCCAAGAACACAGACGCCAAAGCTCCAGGGAACCTAGAGTGAGGGACTACAGAGTCCTGACTCTGCCTCCCCATCTCCTTTCCCCATACTGATTCCCAGAGCTTCTACCACATGTGCACAGGAAAAGAAGGGGTACTGTTTTTTCCCGTTATGTCCAGCTGTGAACATCAACCTCCCCTGGGGTTCCTGGTTCAGAAAAATTAGCCTGCATTTCAAAGGATGCTTTACCATACCCTAAGGAATAATAAAATGGAAAATACAAGAAGCATACAAACAGCCTGTCTCACATACCTCCTACCTTTAAATACTCTCTTTTCCCTCAACTCCACTCCCCCTGCCATATGAACCTTTTGGGAGAAGAGTGAAGGGTTAGTTTAGGCATAGGGGCTTCTTAGAGCACCTGCCACTATGACTATCACTGAAGCCAGTTAGAGTGACTTCCTCCTAGTATCTCTGCACAGGGAAGGAAGAACATAGATTGATGGCACAGAGCCTCCACCTCCTGCCATCCTCCCTACCAACAGAAAAATATATCTGTAAGGGAAACTAGGGTATTCAGAGAACTAGAACTTTTCACCGTTACCTCTTGCTTGTCTATCTCTAGTAGAACTGATCACACTTTAAGATATCAGTGATGATCACTGATGATTTGCTTTCCTCTCTCTCTTCTCTACTGGACTATGTGTCTAGTTCAGCGTCACATTTCTGCCAGTGCCCAGCTGAGGGCTCAAGCTATAACAGCAACTAACTTTTATTGTTTGTTTTGTTACTAAATCCTGTGCTAAGCCTCTTTCAAGACTTCTCTCACTTAATTTTCAAGACAACACTATGGGATAGGTATTGTCACAAGCCCCTTTTTAGAGATGAGAAAAATGGGTGTTGGAGAGAGGAAGTAACTAATGCAAGAGCATAGAGTTCCAATCTGCTCTACCTCCTCCCTTGTTGAATATGTGACTGAGTAAATAAATGTCTCTTTCACAGGGAAGTGGACAAATCTTAGGAGTCTTCAGAGACAGATGGGTGGGTCAGTTCTACATTGGTAATAAGTTCCATTCTTTCTTCAGCAGTCCACCCTTATACCAGGTTGGGCAGACAAGGAGGAGGCAGGACGGCCTCATGTTGCTTAGACTGTTTTCTCAAGCTGCAGACAGCAAAGATCTCTGTATGCTGCCTGTGATATTGTGATATAATAACCAGCTCCAGGCCACAACTCCTAAAACCTTTGTCATTTCCTAATAAAGGTGCTAGGAGCATCTTTTGTTCTAATACTTGTCTTTGGTCATGGTTTCTAATGCAGACCTCCTAAATCCCCTGGAATTTCCTAGGTAATCAGAGGACTTTCTGTCCTAATGAGGCAACTCTTGGTGGGCTCCTGGAGAGCCTCAAGCTGTGACTGGTCACCAGAAAGACTAAGCCTTGATTAGAAGCTTGTAACTTTCAGCCCCACCTCCCATCTTCCAGGGAGGGATGAGGGAGAGATTGAGTTAACTGTCAATCATGATCATGTGTATGTGATGAAGTCTCTCTTTGGAGAGTTTCCAGATTGGTGAATACATCCATGTGCCAAAAGGGTGTTACACCCCAATTCCACAGCACAGAAGCTCCTGCACTCAGGACGCAGACCTCGCCCTATTTATCTAATTAACTAGCTGTTCATCTGTATCCTTTATCATATCCTTTATTATATAAGAAGCCAGTAAACGGCCCTGGCTGGTGTGGCTCAGTGGATTGAGTGCCTGCCTGTGAACCAAACAGCTGATTCCCAGTCAGGGCACATGCCTGGGTTTCCGGCCAGGTCCTCGTGCACGAGAGGCAACCACACATTGATGTTTCCATCTTTCTCCTTCCCTTCCCCTCTCTCTAAAAATAAATAAAATCTTTTTAAAAATATTTAGAAACCAGTAAATGTGTTTACCTGAGTTCTGAAAGCTATTCTAGCAAATTATTGAACCTGATGAGGGGATTGTAGGAACTGTGATTTATAGGAGTGCAGGTGACAATCTGACACTTGTGATTGCCATCTGAAGTGGGAGCAACTTGTGAGAGTGAGACATTACTTGTGGGAACTGATGCTAACTCCAGGTAATGTCAGAACTCAATTGAATGAGACCCAGCTGATGTCAGAGAATTGGTTAGTTTGGCAAAAACTAAGCCAAACCTGTGTCTGGTGACAGAAGTGTTCTGTGTGAGTAGTAAAGGATAAATAAAAGAGTCTTTCCTTACATTGCCCTTGGAGGGGTGGCTGTGAGGGGTTAGAGGTAGGTAGTTTCTAAGGGGACTGGACACAAATGTGGATCCCTTCCCATTCTTCCACTTGAGGACATTTTCTGGAGAAAAGTTGAGCTGGACCCTAAAGGATAGTCGGGATTTAGACAGGGGAGAGGAAGGTAAGAGAAATGGATGATGTAAATAATATTTACTAAATGCCTATAATGTACTGGTAATATGTTAGTGCCAGAAATACAACAGTGAGCAGAAGAGACCTTACTCTTGCCCTTGTGGAGCTTACAGTCTGGTGGGAGAGAGGGACATAAGCAAATAACCAGCTATGCACGTGTGTACTTACAACCTGCAATAGGTATTATGAAGGAAAAGTACAGGGTAATAACAAGTTATGTGTTGATTAGGGGACTGATCTATCCTACAGAGTGAAGAGAGACCACTCCTAAGGGGCATCTGAGCTTGAATTTGAAGGATACTAAGAGGAGTTAACTAGGTGATGATGAAAACATGGGTTAAGAGTATACCAAGAAAAGGGAATATTAGGTATGAAGGCCCTGAGGCAGGAGGGAACAAGGGAAGTTTGAGGAAATGAAAAGCCACCAGGAGGGCTGGAATCCATGGAGGTGGGCACAAGAAGGGGCAGGAAAGATAGATAGGTGGGGGCACATATTGCAGGACCAAGAGGCCAAATAAAGAACCTGGGCCTTTCTGTAAAATAATTGAATGGTTTTTAAAAAGATTTTATTTATTTACTTTTAGAGAGAGGGGAAAGGAGGGAGAGAGGGAAACACCAATATGTGGTTGCCTCTCATGTGCCCCCTACTGAGGACCCGGCTGGCAACCCAGACATATGCCCTGACTGGGAATTGAACTGGCAACCCTTTGGTTCTCAGGCCAGCACTCAATTCACTGAGCCACACCAGCCACGGCAAATAATTAAAGGATTTTAAACAGAGTTCTATAATAACTGTGTCCTCTTTAAATAGATCTCTGGTTACAACATGAACAAGAGACCAATTAGCAGCCCTGTATTAATCCAGGGTAAGGAATGGCAGTGGCTGGATTTGGTGGAAGCAGAGATGAACAAAGCCAGAGAGAGATGAGGGAATAAAGTAGTTTGTGGAGAGTGCAGTCATCTCCTCCGTGGCTGATGGCTGTATTGCTGAACTTCATTCATTTAGCAAATGCTTGACACTCAGGTTCAAATCCCAGCTTAGGCCCTAAACCTATCTGGGCATCAGGGGGCAAAGCCTAAAAGAAGCAAAGCTCAGCTAGTCTGGGGACAGCTGCGCTGTTGGTTCTTCAATGGGGAACTCCTCTGCTCCGCCCCTACCACTAAAACACTCCTGCGCAGAGGTAGGCTCACATTCCTGTCCCCTGCCTGTACTAGTGGTGCTTCCCTTCAGAAAAAAAGAAGGGGTTAACTTTCCAGCCCTTCTGGGGAGTTTACTGGGAAAGTTTTCTTTGGGGAACTTCCAACACAAGTTTGGACAATGTCAGACCTTGAGGCAATGGGCCCAGATCCAACTCTGCCTCTGACTTTCTATCGGGAGTGTCCAACCTTTGGGCGTCTCTGTGCCACACTGGAAGAAGAGTTGTCTTGGGCCACACATAAAGTACACTGCAACATCCCTGGCTGGCGTAGCTCAGTGGACTGAGCGTGGGCCGCGAACCAAAGTGTCGCAGGTTCAATTCCCAGTCAGGCCACACACCTGGGTTGCAGGCCACGGCCCCCAGCAACCGCACACTGATGTTTCTCTCTCTCTCTTTCTCCCTCCCTTCCCTCTCTAAAAAATAAATAAGTAAATAAAGTAAAATAAAATAAAGAAATATTTGCTTTAAAAAATACACTGCAACAAGTATCACACACACACACACAATCTCACTGTGTTTTAAGGAAATTTTTGCTTTTGGGTTGGGCCGCATTCACATCCATCCTGGACTGCATGCAGGCAGGAAAGCCACAGGTTGGACACCCTTGTCCAGTCTATCCATACCGCTCGGACCACCAGAAGCACAGGTACAAGGAAGGAGCTAATGGAAGAGGAGAACGCAAGGAGGCTCCTTAGAGTAGTGGTGAGGGGGGGGCGTGGCGGACCTCTGTGACGTACAATATCACGCCTCTTGGAAAAGGCTCAGCGCCTGCGCCGGAACGGCGGCTCGCTCCCGGAAGTGGAGGGTCTACCCGGACAGCCGCTGGGTCTCTGTGCCCGGAGGCAGAAGCGCTCGCGGAGCTCGCCAGTCGGTCCCCGACCGCTATGTCGGCCTTCGAAACCAACCCCTTCGCGGACCCAATGGACGTAAACCCCTTCCAGGTAGAACTTTCAACTCACAGTTCCCTCTACTGCCAAAGGCCTCCACCCCGGCCTCTTTCGCTGGAGCCGGGAGACGTGGCGTAGGAGGGACGGGCTGACTGCCCAATGGGAGAGCTGGCTCTGAGAGCTGGCCTATCATAGTGCTTTGGGGGCGGGACTAGCAGCAAGTGGACCGAAGGGGCTTGGCGCTGTAACCTGGGATGAGATGGGACCCTTTAGCTCCGCAGACGAATCCCCTTTGACGGGGTATTGCTGTGGAAGGGAACTGGAACGGACTGGGGATTTCCTCAGCGTCTGGGGGAGACGTGAATTCACCTGAGAGAGAAGTGTAGCTACCGCAATCCTGCAGTCTTGGCTTGAGGCACGTTAGGAAGGGGGTGACAGCTGCATAGCGGGATGGAGAAATGTGGAAAACTGAAGACAACCCAGTTCTCCCTCCCCTAACAACCAAAGATGCGTATACGGTATAGGAAGACCCCTGGGATTTGTCAGGAAGGGAAAGTTGGGGAGTGGGTGAGAAGCTGAAATATGGCTTTTTAAAAGAATTCCACACTTTGGCCATGGGGCTACTTTGGACTAGCTTGACTTGACAGAAGGGCCCGCGTTAGGGAGGGAGATGTGAAGGGGCTCTGAGGGTCTTGAAACAGGAGTGTTGGCCTGATGGACCTGTATGCTGTGGCACAGTAGTTGAAATGTGCTGATCTATAGGCTGGCTTCACCATTTGAACAAATGATCAAGGAAGAAAGAGTTTTCCTACTTAAAACCAAAATCTTTCTGCCTTTGAGCTAAGGGTACAGGGGTATTATTTTTCTATGATGAACGACTGGGACTCCTGTTAGCGCCCAAGCTCGTCTGCCTTTTGTTTCATGTATACTCAGAACCAGTTCTGCTCAAAACCAGAGCAGACTTGTACTGACTTGTGATTTATGAGCCCCAGCGTTTCTGCTGTCAGGATGTCACCAACTCATCCTGTTTGGATTTTGGTCATTGGCAGCTTAAAATCTCTTGCACGTGGAGGGGATGTACTTGGAGAGGTCTTTTCCTGTAACTAACAGCGTGAGTTTTCCCACCTTGAATTTCCTCAAGGGTCCAAGCCAAGATAATGAAACTAGAACAGAATTACTCTATGCTGTCAAGAGAGTGAAAATTTTATGCTTGTTTCTTGGTCTCAAGGTGACTTAGCCAATGAGAGCTCTCAAGGCAAATTTTGGTTGCTTGTTCTTTGTAACGTTAGGGAATTCTTGTAGCTTAATTCTCCTTGACAGGACTTTTGCAGGGACCCTATTTTTTCTTATGTAATTCATTCATCTCTATTAGTTGAATAAAGAAAGAATATTTGCATTTTCACTGCCATTGTCTTCTGATAACTCTTCTGCTGTATAATAGTGGAGTTTGAGTTTTAGTAAGGATCTGGTAGCCTTTTGGTGTGTATGCTGGGTAATCATTTGCTTTTCTTTTTCCTGTCAGAATCAGGAATAAAGTGTCTGCTACCATATGACAGAAGTTGTTAGCTATCCAAAGATGCAGATAACTTGTCCCAAATGCTAGCTGTGGGCAAGATAGTTGGCCTGAGTTCAGCCCTGTATTAACAGTAGCTTGAAAGTCTTAAACTACATCTCCAGCCCCAGAAATGATTGTGCAAACTGTGGTAGGAATAACTTCTGCATTCAAGCAAGACAGCTTGTCCATCAGGCAGTCCCAGAATGTGACAGGACAGGAAGCAGCTGTGCGCCTGTGAAGGGCAACATCTGGTGGGAAATCCCGTGTAGGAAGAAGAGAGCTGGCTGGCTGCAATTCTTCTTCTCCTTATTCTGGACTGTGTTTTTCCTCTTGGCACAGTTTGTGGAGAGAAGGAGTTTTGGAAGTGAGGTCTCTGAACTCCTCCTGGAGAGCTGCCTTCTCTGTCCTTGTGATGGTAGTGTCAGGTTCAGACTGCCAGGGCTGGAACATTGGGAGGGTGCAGCCTTAGGGTGACTGGGTGTGAGCCCAGCTTCATTTACCCAGGGTGTTGGCACAGAGCTCAGGAGAGAGGTGATAGGCTCAGAAACTCACACTAAGCCAGGCTGCAGAACAGTCCTTTTTTCCATCACTCAGTGGTGGGTTATGAAAATAAACTTAGTGTTCAGAGTCCACGGTGGACTGCTAGAGCTAGGAACATCCTCAGAAATTTATTCTAACCTCTTCAGTTTAGAATGAGAAAACCAAGAATCCTTGAGGATGTAACATGCCAGAATTACTGGCTAATTTGCAGCAGGAAGGGGCCCAAACCTCCAGTCTCATTCCCGGAACAGCACTGTTTAAAAGATTTTTTAAGCTCTGCCTTGGGGTTATTTAGTTATTTAGACCAGCTAAGGAAACAATGTTACATCATCACCACTGCCACCATTCTTAAAATGAGAGTCCTGGTGGGGTGAAAGTAACAAATTAGTATTAGCTAAGGTATTTTCTCCCCGGTGTATGGGGTTGGAATAATACAGGTGGTATTGTTTTTTAAGACAGTACTTTAAATGGTATTGTTTTTTAAGACATTACTTTAAAGCAGTGTGTTCTGAATAATACCAGTCCTTAAAGGTGCTCAGGGTTCTGTGGTCAAATAAGTTTGGGAATCACTACTTACTGCATTTTTTCGTGAAGATCGATAAGGCTTGTTAACTTCTTACATGCTCTGAGAAATCCTACAGTAAAGACATTTACTCAACTTTATTTGACCCAGCATTTCTCAGAGTTATTAAACCATGGAATCCTTTTTCTACTGACTTTAGTAATATCCCATGAAACTCCCAGTACACCTTTGAATTGTCTTCCTTACCCACTCCCCACACCCACTGGTGCCCCACACTTTGGGTGTGGGCTTTTGTGACCTTCCTTGCATGTAGTTATAATTGGGATTATTAGAAAACTTCCTGCAAAGTGAGAGCTGTGCAAGGAGAGTTGTCACAAGAGTGCAGCAGAAGTTTTATTAAACTTGTAAGAGGAAGCAGGAAACTTCAAGCCAAGTGTTGCGATTTCACAACCACCACTGGCACTCCCTAATCCCTCCATTCGTGATAGTGCGTCTGCCCTGTATTCTCTGGGGGTGCGGGTCCTGCTTCAGACTGATTCCAATGTCGGCTCCTAAAAGTTTCTCAGTCTTGTTGGGTAATGAGGAGGTAGAGTGCTAAAATGGCAGGCATTGTATTGTTAATTTGATTCTTCAGCAGTCCACTACCAAGCAGATCACTCAGGCAAACACCAGTGTTGCTTTCCTTCTTGACATTTCTGTCCATTTAGCCCTGTGGCCATTGATTTCAGGGAGAGGAATGGACTAGCTGGTGGTGCTGGACAGAGAAAGCCTTTCAGGGGTGTCTAGCCTTTTAGGTGTCTCTGGGCCACACTAGAAGAGGAAGAGTTGTCTTGGGCCACAGATTAAATACACAAATGTGCCCTGGCTGGCGTAGCTCAGTGGATTGAGCGCAGGCTGCGAACCAAAGCATCACAGGTTCGATTTCCAGTCAGGGCACATGCCTGGGTTGCAGGCCATGGCCCCCAGCAACCGCACATTGATGTTTCTCTCTCTCTCTCTTTCTCCCTCCCTTCCCTCTCTAAAAAATAAATAAATAAATAAAACAAAAAAAATACACAAATGTTAACAAAAACTATGAGCAAAAGAAAAGGTTTTAAGTACATTTACAATTTTGTGTTGGGCCGCATTCATAGCCATCCTGAGCCACATGCAGCCCACAGGGTTGGATATGTCTACTTAGGTCTCCATGAGTTTCCAAATCACACTATATCACTTTCACATGTTGCCTGTTTGCAGTTAAAATATAATCTCTGCTGTGGCTGCTTTCCAAAGATTTAAAACATTTCTCTCTTACGGGAAGAGAAAGCAGTGGTAGATCTTGCTTTGGGTGTGAACAAAGTTACATGAGGTTCCTTGCACAGACACTGATGGCTTTGCCACTTCCCAAGGAGGCCGGGCTCCAGCTTGACTCTGACTTTGGGAATTCTCAGAACCACCAGATGGACCTGGTAGAACTTCCCTGTGGAACAAGGGCATTGTCTCAAGAAATTTGTCTGGTATATTTAGGGGTGTTCTGGAGTTCTGTCCTTCAGTAATTTCTTCCACTTAACATGGTTTCAGAATAGCATTCACATAACAACGGTCCCAGATCTAGAACACTCGCCCTCACCTTTCTTCTGAGTATCAAGCCAGTATTGAGCTCTCACCCGGACGTAGTCAACCATTCCAACCAGATGTATGCCGTATGGATCTCCAGGCACACCCAGTGTCTTCTCAGATCTCTCCCCTGCCCCCACACACCCACTCCTGAAAACGCTGTTCCTCTTGTTCCATGATCACTTACCGTGCTCACTGGTGGCCCTGTTCCCCAGTTACCCAAGCTGGCAACTCAACTCCTTCCTTTCCTCCCTCTGCCACCGCCCAGCTTACCCTGTAGTATCGCCATACTCCTACGAACCCAGAGAGTGGTCAAGCCTGTGGCGTCTTCCTGAAAAGGTTCATTGGACTCTATCCCCTCTTCTCATCCCTAGCTGTCATACCTTAGTTTGGTCCTCACCATTGCCCACTGAACTGTTGCGTCCCAGCCAGTCTTCACAGCATCTTTCTTCCCCTGGCATTGCATTTTCCCCTCTGCTGTCGGAGATGATTGCAGCAGTTGATCCCTGCTCACAATCTCTAGTTGTCCTCCATTGCCCATTGGGTAAAGTGTAAACTGAACTCTGGACCTACTCCTTCTTCAGGTTGGTTTCCTGGTACCCCTGGCTAGTCTCTGTACAGGCTCCACTCCACAGCCCCCAGAACCTTCTGTTCCCTGAACACATGCAAACTGTTTTTAAAATTGTGGAGTCTTTGCATGTGCTAGTTTTGCCTTCCCCTTTAGTCCCTGCTAAATTTCTTTCTTTCATCTCTCAAGATCCAACTGAGATGCCACCTCAGTACAGCCTTTCTTGATTCTCCCAGATAGCTTAGTCCCTCCCTCCTTTGTGATCCCCGTGC